GAGACTCATTCCCAGATCAGTGCAGTGTTGGTGCTCAGGCTTCTGGCACCACGCTGTGCCTGCTCTTCTGAGGAATGAGCCTAAAGTCCTCTCCCCTAAGCCCCCTCTGATTTGAATGACTGAGATACCCTCTCTCTCAGCTTCCCTCTTTCCAGACTGAAGCAGTCTGAATTCTTCGCAGCAGCCCTGCATCCTCTTGGTCACTTCTCTGGATTTATTCCAGCTCTGTGATGAATCAGAGGGGCAGCAACTCGCCCTGTCCTGGCTGTGATAACCATCAGCCATTCCTGAAGCTTCCCAGGTGGCTCCAGCCGCTGTCCAGGATGGGGGTGAGGAGGAGGCCCAGGCTGCAGGAGGTGCTAGAAGGAGGGAGGAGAAGGGATGGAAAGACTCCCAGGAGAAGAAAGACCCAGCAAATCTGAGTGTCACTGAGCCCTTATGGGGCCAGGAAACCGTGCCATCCGCACACCCTAGCACACAGTTTCCCTCAGTCTTCAAGAAAGAGCCAGGTGCTGGCTGATGACCACCGCTGGTGTTGCTTACAGTCCACAGAGCACTTCCCCATTCAGTGTTTCAGTTGGTTCTCCGACAGCTAAAGGGTGGGGTGGGGGTGGGGGCCCTGTAGAGTAGAGGCTTTGGAATTAGAACTGGGTCCGGTTCTGGCTCTGCCATTGTCTTCACCTCTCTTTTACAGATGAGATTTAGAGGTTATTAGCTTGCTTCACATTCCACAGGCTGTCAGCAGTGGAGCTAGAATGAGATCCGGGGTCCTGGTGTCTGGAAGGGGCCTCACGAGGAGGGAAGGGAGAGGCAGCATCTAGAGGGCTCTGGTTAGGGGCTATTTAAGTCCTGCCTAGAAATCCGCTTATTTCTGTGTACTTATGATCTGTTTGCTTTTCTTCAGTTTCTTAGTAAAAGATCTTTTGGAAAACTACCTCCCTTTTTGTCTGAACTGAAGGGGAAAAGGAGCTCTCTCTACAGTCTTCTAAACCTTGGTCCAGGCTAGATGTTCTAGAGCAGGTGTGGGAATAGCCTGGAGAGAGTTCAGGCTGCGGATTGTCAGCCCCTTTTTGCTGTGGCTAGGAACCCAGCAGCCTCGCTGGCCGGCTTGGCACTGGACTTCTGCCACACCAGCCAGGGCAGGGGGTGGTGGGCAGGGCTGCTGTTACCGCCGTGGCTTTGTCGCCCTTTGCAGTGTGACGCCAGCTTTTCTCACTCTCTGCCCCAGGGAACGCTGTCTACAGAGCAATGTGTAGGTCCCCTGCAGAGTGATAGAGTTGACCTTAGCCCATCCAGAGACCTAATGCTGCTTTGTGGGGAGGGGTGGGCTCATGGCTCTGAGGCCCTTTGGCCCAGGACCTTCAGAGGTTGGTCTAGGCCAGCAGTGGGGTGAGGGACGATGGAGGTGGTTGTGGGACTGGAGGAGAGGCCTGGTGACACACTACATCCTGAGTAGGAGCCTGAAGATGTAGGCAAGTCTCTTCCTTTCTGTGGGTCTCAGTCTCCTTATCTGTGAAATGGGGTTAAATCACACACCTGCCTCTGAGCTGGTTTATGCAATAGGAAATACCTATGTTCCATTGTTTGCTTGTGATCATGCTGTGGGATAATGCTAGTAGGTGATGGTTAGTGTGGGGCCTGACCCTGTAGTCAGTAGATTCTTAGTAAAGGGTGGTGCTCTTGCATATTGACGATCAGCACAGCATCCTGAGGGGCCTGGCTCATTCCGGGAGGCTGTGTCGCTTTTCCCAAGTGGAAGCTCCAAGGAGGCTGCAGTTCTTGATGTTGCTACAAAGTCCAGAGGTACCTGGGTAGGTGAGGAACCAAATTGAGGCTAGAAGGTTTGGCTCAAAAAGGTGATGCTGTCCGGCTGGAGGCTGACGAAGGTGGAATCAGGAAGTGGGGAGTAGGAGTAGGGCGTTGTCTTGGGCCTGAGCTCTCCCCGTGGTTGCTGGGTTGAACTAATTACGTCCAGTAATTCCTAGTCCAGGACCAGTCTGTGCCAGAGTTTGTTCTGGGTCCCTCCTGCCTCCCTTGGTGCCATGTCCCCCATTTATCAGTGTCTGGACCTCAGTTTTTCTCTTCTTTGGGGTCCCCCTTGGTCTTCTCAGTTGTGGGGCTTCTACCATAGCCTTCTTAAGTCTGGGGGTGTTGCTTGTGGGACTAGAGACTGGCCCTGCTCCGAGGTCATACAGAGTTTGGTCTCTCACTAGACTGTGAACCCCTTGAGGGCAAGGTGCAGGTCTGAATTGCCTCTGGGCTCCTGTGTCCAGCACGGAGCTTGTAATCCTTGGGTCCTGACCAGAGGGCCCAGCCCCTCTGGGCCTCAGTTGTCAGGCTGGCCAAGGTAGCACAAGCTTGAGTTGGCCCTTCTTCCTCACAGGTGGCATGGGTAGGGGTGGGGGTGGGTGCTGAATCAGAGTATATGGCTCCTTGTGTCCAGCTTCCTCTTCCTGGCTGGCCCAAGGCTTGGGAACAGTGGCTGCCTTTCTGGGGCAGCCAGGGCGCCTGGCCAGAGTATGCTCTGTCGGGCACTGTCAGCTCTTCAGCAAGCCCCAGTCCTCCTCTTAACCTAGAGAAGGCCCCGGGTTATTGGTGTTATTCTTGGCGGACCACCGGGCCCCTCAGCAAACAGGGAGGCGAGTGTGCACCCGGCCTGGGCCTGTTTGTGTTGGCCTCGCCAGGCGGGGGATTAGCTCAGCTGGGCTGCTAATTGCCTCCGAAGTGCCGAAGTGCTGGCCGGCCGGGATGCTGACAAGGGCTGGGCCTCCAGGCCCCTCCTCCCCAGCAGGCACTATGCCAGGCTTGGGGGCCTGGCCCAGGAGGGCCCCTTCTTTCCCCTGTCAGCGCCTGCTTGGCCTAGACCCTTGAGATGCGGGCAGGGGGTCACCAGGGCTGGCGGCTCAGGAAGGAGTGGGGGGAGATGCCTATGAAGTCATTGCCTGGGCCAGGCCAGACTCCACCCCTTCCCCCCACATCCCTTAGACCCCCTCTCCCTTTCCTGAGTCAGATGCCTTCTGAAGCTCAGCATTTTCTCCTTTTGTCAGGAAGCTACGGGCTCCTCTGCCCAAGATGCCCTCCGGTCCCTCAGTGCTGTCCTCTCCTTGTGTGTCTCTCTCTCTGTTCTATGTCTGTCTTCCCACCTCCTGCCTTTCCCTCACTCTGTTTCTCAGTCTTTCTTAGCCCCTCTCAGTTGCCCAGAGCCCTGTACTTCCTTCTACCCTCTGTCTTCCTGTGTTCTCTGGCCCTTCCTTGGTCCAAGACCCATCTCAAACCCTGCCCCTGGTCTCCCCAGACATCTCTTGGACCACTGCTGTCAACCAGGGGCTAAGACGGAGGTCCACTTTATCACGGTCTCACAGCTTTCCTAGAGACCTTCAGGCCTGAGTTGTGAGGGCAGCTGTCAAGAATGGATGTGGACATAGGCTCTCTGTGAGCTGACCTTGCCTGGGAGTCCTGAAGGCCTTCCATCCTCATAGGCGGAGCCCCTGGGCCCCACTACATACACTTCCCTACAGCTCTGACACTCCTTCCTCCCCCCTTGGCCCCTGTTCCCTGTCCTAGCCCTGCTTCTCGGCCACACTGAGAACTTGGTTCAGCCTCTCTTGCTGGCGCCTAGGGGCAGCTTTGCCATTGCCTTGCTTGCTGCTGCTTGGGTATTCTGACCCCTAGGGTTCTCTTGTCTCCTGGCTGGGGATTTCTGTCCTGAGACATCTGTCTGTTTCAGATTTTGGGGATGGGGCCAAAGTAGGATCACCTGTCTTCAGCCCTTAACTGTCTCTGATTTCCTCCTCGTTTCATCCCCTCTTCTGGCCCCCTCAACTTTAGAGCCACCTTAACTGCCTCCTACATTCCTGAAAAGGGAATAATAATATTTATAATAGTAGCTGCCATTTGTTGAGCTTTACATATTTGATTTAACATCCCCAAGAAACTGGTTCTATTATTGTTTAGCCCCACGTGAAGTTGGGGCAGGGGGCGCAGCCCCATATTACAAATTAAGAAAATGAGTCCCAGAGAGGGACAGTGAGTTATTCAATTTTCCATTTAGTGAAGAAGTGGCAGCACTGGGATTCCAACCCATGTCTATTCGATTGTAAAGCCTGGGTCCTTTTCACAGTTGTAGGAAATGGTTGGGTATGGATCTTTGCTCGGCCATCATGGACCCCCCGTATCACCAGTTCTTTTCTCTGTGCCTTGACCCTGATTTGGGGATGAGGTGTCCTTTTCTCTCCATCCACACGCTAGACCCTTCCCTCCCTCCGTTATCCCCTTCCCCAGTTCTTCACAAATCCGTGTGTACCTCTGCTGTTTTGAAAGCACTTGCTTCAGCCCTTTTATACTCCACTAAACCTTTGGAAAGCAAGCATATAGTAGCCTAATTGCTCTCAGGCATGTGAATTTGCTGCAGAGGGGTGGGGGCTCGGGAGGACAGGCCATGGCCCCCTTGGTAAGGGTGAGGACTTCACTAGACTGAAGTTCCTGAGAAGCCACTTTGGGTCTTCCCATCAGCTCTGACTTGGGTTACATGGAGTTTTCCATCCAGACTTCTCATCCTGACCAGGCTTCAATTCTGGAGTGGACTTCTAGCCACAGGCCTTGGATTCCTGTGTCCTTGGGCAGGAACTAAGTTCTTTTTGATTTGTTCCCTACCTTCTCAGTTGGCACCCACTTCACCAGACCCTCCTCTGTCATTGTCTTTGTTCCTCGTCTGTATCAGCGCTCAGGAAGGGTTCTGAGGCCTTAGCTCGGGCCAAGGCTTAACTAGCTGATCGTGGCTCAATGAAATGCAGGTAGAGCCTCGTGTGTTAAAGGGGGATTCCAGACAGCATGCAGGTGGCTCCTTCTCATGTGGCCATCAAACCAGTTACTCAGAAGGAAGGAGGGCCAGGAGGGTCCCCATATCTAGACTATGAACTGTTTATCTGCTTTTCCCATGTCCTTCCCCACGTCTCTCTCCTCCCTTTTCTGCAAACAAAGGCACTTTCACAATTGCAAGATAAAGAAATAATCATTTTATCGTGCATCAGGCTATTTCATGGGGATGTCACAATGGCAAGGGGCCTAGTATAAAAATTAGAAGATGGGGTAGGGCAGCAGAGGGAGTAGCAGCATCCAGAGCTGGGGCTTATCCAGCCCTAGGCCTCAGAGGACATCACCTTTGTCTTATGGAGACTAGTGGAGAGGGTTTCGGGCAGGACTTGGATCCTCTGGCCAGCTTCCAGAGTGGGTGGGCTACATCAGGCAAGTGCTGGTTTCTCCTCTTTATTTGGGACAGTTTGGAGCTAGGTGTGTCCAAGGAAGCTCCATTTTCCTGCGGCTGTGGGTCCCTTTGGCCTTTGGGGTGCTGGTTGTGGTGGCAGCAGGGCTGGGCAGAGCTTCCTAGAATCTAGTCTACTTTATAGCGGTCATAACCTTGAGAACCCCAGGCTGGTCAGCTTTGAGAGAGCCCCCGGGCAGGTGGAAAGGTGAAGCCTGTGAATGGACACAGACCCTCTCACTTCTTCCTGGGGCAGTGTCCATAATACCAGCATCCAACCTGGACCTACCAGTACCCTGGTTCTGGCGACAGGATTCGGGGATGGGGGAGAGTGGTTCTGTCCTGTCTCCAGAGGGGGAGGGTCTCCCCGGCTTCCTTTGTCTGGATCTCGCCTCTGCCAGTGAGGGATAGCATTTTCCCTGGCACTGAGCAGACAGCTGAACAGAGCCTGCCAGAGGAGCAGTGAGCCCAGCTGGGCCGCTGTGGGGACACTTAGTGGGCTTAGCTTTCATCCACATCAGAGCCTGCCCGCCCCAAGATTACCCCTCATTCCAGTGTGGCTGCAGCATCTCACTTGGTTTTGGCCTTCTTCTTGGATGGACATTGAGCAGAGAGCTTGGCTGGGGGCCAAGGGTGTTGACCCTCTCTTAGTGAGGGAGCCAACACCAGGAGGCACAAACCACAAGGCCTGGAGGAGAGTTTCTACAGGCCGGAGCCTGTATTCTCAATCTGGGACTTTGAATTCAGACATGGAATCCTGGAGCCAAGAGCTTGGGGTCTGAGAATCTCCAGTGGGGATCCCAAGCCCAAGATCTCAAACCAGGAGCCTGGAGCCCCATTTAGGGGGCAGCTTGGAGACTGGGCCTCCGGCAAGCTCCTCTGGTGGTTGGGAGCAGCAGCGGGGTCAGGCCACGTCTTGCTGTGTGCATGTCCTGCTCACAGGAATTTGGTCTGTGCTCCTGCCGGTTTGGCTTGGGCACAGGGCCAGGCCCGGGCTGCTGGTGCTTTCTCTGGGGGACTCTTCTTCAGTGCCCAGGGTACGTGGGGGCAGGGTGCCTCAGCTGCTGACACCTCACTTCGTCAGCCCTCTAGCTGTGCACCGCTTCCCTCAGAGCCCGTTGTGTGGTTTGGGGCCCTGTGGCCGCTAGGCCCAGCTTGTAGTCTGGCTTCTGCTGCTTCCTGGCCCCTCGTCCTCCAGCTGGTGCCCCCTCCCCAAGGCTCAGACCCAAGGAGACCTGCAGGTCCTGGGCCTTTGGGTAAGGTGCCCCGGAGGAGCCTTGGCTGCAGGGCTCTTCTGGCTGTGCCTCTGCAGCCAGCTCGCCCTGGGACCCGGCTGAGCATTGTCCTCTGTGCTGTAAGACAGGCACAAGCATGCCTGCCTTTGCGTCTGCCGGGAGTGTTGGGATCATCCTGTGGGATGGCCCAGGAGAGGGCCTAGCACATAGTATTTGCTCAGGAAATGTGGTTCACTGAGGAGAGTAATGGGTGGGAAAAGGCTTTTTCACTGGCCAGTTCCTCTGCGTGTGTGATTTCCATTCTTCATCTTACCGAGGAGCGGCACCGCGAGGAGACACACGTGGAGGTGTCCCTGCCAAGGCCTGGCTGGGACCTCTGATCCAGGATGACAGCTGGTGCTCCTGCCTGGGAGGGACCAGGGAGGGGCGGCTTCCCCTCTCTGATGGGGAGGATGGGTGGGCTGGGCTCCAGGGCAGGACCGGAGCCTTCTCTGGCTCTTGTCTCACCTGCTCTTCTTGCCTGGAAGGTCCCACAGAGACTGAACCTCCAGCTGCTCATGGAGGGCCGAAGAGAACCCTTTGCCCTTGAGCTGGTACCTGCCCATTCCCTTGTCCGGGGGACTCGAGAGACAAGGCTCCTAGGCTGAAGCTGCCAGGGGTCGGGTGTGTATGTGTAGGGGTGCAAGTTCATCAAGATGGCGCCGGTTTCCCCCTGCCTTAGGGCCACCTCCCTCCCTAGATGGCAGGGCCAGGGGGCACGTGGCGAACACTCCTTGTTACCCTGCTCAAGTCTGCGAGTGGAAAAACAGGGCTAACGCCCACGTGGTCAGCAGCGGCCACATGTGGACAGCCAGAGGCACGAGCAAGTTCCCTTTGGTCAGTGGCAGCCACGAAGGCCCAGGCTTCAGAGGGGCCCTGGCTGGTGCCCTGGGGCCGCCCGCCTGGTTTCAGCAATAAATAACATGAGGACCCAAAAACCAAACCAAAACAAAAAATACAACCAGTATCTTTTGGGGTGGGGGGGGCTGTTTAAATTACCGGCCTTCGGCGGGCCGCCGCGGTCACCGGCACGTGTGCAGCTCCACCAGCCGCTGGCACTGGCGGCACTTGACGAAGCAGCACCAGTGGAACTTGCAGCTGCAGCGCTCGGCCAGCTCCACCTGCGCCGTGTGGAAGCCGCGGCCGCAGCACAGCAGCTCGCAGCCGTCGATGGCCTTGGACGTCTTGTTGCACGTGCGGCCCCGCGTGCCCAGCACGCCGCTGCGCATGTCCTGCTCGCAGAAGTCCGGGCTGGGCTCTAAGTACACCAGGTCCTCGTCCGTGTGCGGCTTGAACTGTGCGTTGCGCGGCACCAGCGCCCTGGAGGAGCCCACGCGGCGCGGCTCCACCTCGGTGGCGCCATCGAACTTCTCCTTCAGTGCGTGGCCCACCTGGCGGAAGGGCGGCACGGCTCGCCAGCACGTCTTTACCTCACAGGAGCCCGACACCCCGTGGCACTTGCACTCCACCCGCATGTGTGTCAGGATAGCCTGCAGGGGGGCGGGGAGGGGAGAGGGCCCATCAGGAGACGGCGGGCGGGGCGGGGGAGCGCTGAGGAGGGGCCGCTGGTGGGGGGGGATGCCACAGAATTGGAGCAAGATTGACTGTCCTGCATCTTCTGTGTTAAGCACCTGCTGTATACCGGGCTGGGCCAGTAAGCTGTGCTGGGGACCGTTGAAGACACTGTCCCTGTGCTTGGGGCACTTGGCGTTGATGGAGGAGAAGCATTTCGGAGGGTAGTGTTATAGGAGACAGGGAGTGGCGAGTGGCAGGATGGGGGAGAGCACGGCTGCGCTGAATCTGCGGAGGAACCGTGAAGAGGAGGGTGGAGAAGGCACGTGGTCTGCGCCCTGACACCAGGTCCGCACCCTAGCTCTGCTACTTAGGAAGGGTGTGTGCGTGTCGGGGGCACGCCCTGCTCCGTGACACCCACTCACCCGGCTGCTTCCCCGCCCGCCACCCCCTAGCCCGCTGGCCCCCCGGGAGCCCTGGTGCTGCTGGGAGCCTGAACGAGTGTTCCCGCGGGGCGCCTGGTGGCGGGGGAGAGTGTGCTGGGGGCCCTGCCGAGCCCGCCCCTGCCCTGGCGGTGATGGTGGCAGGGGACGTGCCACACTACCTTCCTGCCGGCCTCGTTGTTGTGGAGGTTCATGAGGGCGCGGCTGGACGAGGCCCCCTTGCTTCTCTCCCGCACGTCCACGAAGGACTGGGAGAAGGCCACGCCGTAGGCGATGTTGTCCGAGCATCCCGACCACTGGAAGCCTGTGGGGGGTGGGGGGCCCCGTGGCCGCCGTGAGTGAGGGCAGGGCCCAGGCCCCCGGCCGCCACTCACGCCCTCCCCACGTCCCACACTCACCCTGTGGGCTGACCCCGTGCACCGTCCGGTCACAGCCACACTTCTCCAGCTCCCCACTGCTGCACGCCCGCGTCACCGCAAAGGCCACACCTGCTGAAGAGATGGCGTACACGAAGGCCGCCTCCCGAGTCCCTGTGGGAGGCAGAGGGAGGGCAGGGCTGGGTCCCGGTGCTCCGCCCCGCACCCTCCTCTGTCGCGGGGACTGGTACAGGGGGGCCCCACGAGGCAGGCTCCCGGGGGGCCAGGAGGTGCCCCGAGCCGCCGCCCTTGTCCTGCCCAGGCCAACCACCGGGGGCGCTTGCCGCAGCCCAGCGCCGCTTCTGCCCGCGAGCCTGCCCATGGGCTCCTCCCTGCAGCATCCCTGAGGTAAGTGCCACCGTGTCTCCATTTTGCAGACAGATTAGTCACTTCGTGGCTCACACAACACGTGGTTGAGCAGGCACGCGGTCCAGCTTCAGTGCTCTTACCCACGGGGGACACTGTTCTCACAAGCTCTCCGGGACACGAGCGCTGTGCACGGCAGCGTCCAGGAGACAAGACAGGCTCGACAGGTGGACTTAACCAAGGCCACAGAGCGTCGGCGTAGCAGAGCCGTGACCGCCAGCCCCTCTCTGGCTTCCTCCAAAACCTCTGTTCTTTTCGTGCCCATCCCCGAGCTGGCCCCTGGCGCTCTCAGGGCCCCCCCCCCCCTGCACTGTCATCCTGGCCCAGCCCTTTCTGCTGAGGCCGCGTTGCTTCCTGACACCTTCGGGGGGGTCCATCGTCATAGCAACGGCCCCTGCTGTTCACCATGACCGGTAGTGCCGGGAGCCCGTCCTCTGCCGCCGGGAGCCTTGTCTGTGTCCATTTCACAGATGGGGAAGTGCAGGTTTGCAGAGGGGAGGTGATTTGGTCCCAGGCCCCCAGCAAGGAAGTGATAACACCAGGACTCAAACACAGGTCCGTCCGCCTCTGCTGCTCGTTCTTCTCCCACCGCATGACTTCCTAGCGGTTCTATTTTGGTGCCTGCCGTCCTTCTCTGCCTGAATGGGTGTTTTTATCCTCCTAGGAACTGTGCCTCGGGGTGTAGCTGCTCTGGAGCCTCTTTCTGGGGCTGTGGGTGGTGGTGGGTGTGTGTGTGCGCCTGTGTGTGTGTGTGTGTGTGTGTATGCATGTGTGCGTGGCTGGCTGGGTGTGTGACCAGACAGGCCCGGCTCCTCTTCTAGGCCCTGTGAGGGCCTCTGTGTGCCCGTGACTGTCCTTCTGTCTCTCGCCGGAGTGTCTGTGTCCGCAGGAGTGGAGGGGGCAGGTTTTGGCCCCGTGGTTGGCAGTTACCACTGTGACACCCAGGCCTGTGCTCTTGGCTGCCCCTGGGAGCAGTTGCCGTGGTCAGAGGGAAACAATGACCTCCTCTGTGCCCGTGTCTGTGGACAGGCAGCAGAAGCCGAGCCCTGGGGTGGGGGGCAGCTCGGGCCCCGATGGCTCAGGACGCCCTGTTCTATGTTCAGCCCTTGAGCTGGGGCTGTGGCCCCCCACCCACTCTCCACGGCCCACCCTCTGCCCTGGTTTGGCCATTTTGGGCCAGCATCAGGGGGCTTGGCTGGAGCCACAGGGGCCTCGACAGCCTGAGATGGAACCCTCTCCAAGTTAATCGAGGTTAATAGCAGGATCATGTTGGTTGGTTTTGTGCTGTGGCCGCCCAAAGAGGGACGACTTTAGTTTCTGGTATTTCTGGTATTTCCAGGCCTGAACCAGCATAAATCTTTGCCCCAAAGACTAAGGGGGAAGGGCAGGCAGGAGATAGGGACTGGAAGGGTGGCCCCAGCTCTTGGCCGAGTGTGGTCCTTACTTCCGTTTCTCCGGGCTTTCAGGCAGTCCCTGGTCCTCCCGATCCCTGGGCTCATCTCCTTCCCTGAGCGCTGGTAGCCCTGGTGTCCAGGGCTCCCTGTGAGTTTGCTCAGGGAGACCTCTGCCTCATTCTCCAGACCAACGTCCATCTACTGGGACTCCAGGTCCCCCTTGCCCTGGTCTCGGGAACAGGACACTATGGTTTTCTCTGCTTGGGAGGGGGCCCGAAGGAAGAGATTCTGGAAGGAAAATATTAATAGCAAAGAGCAAGGTTTAGAGAGCGCTCACTCTGTGCTGGGCACTGCCTAAGCACTTTACATCATTTATAATACTCTTCACACCAACCCTATGGATCACACCAACCCTATGGAGTAGAGACTTAATCCTCATTTTATAGACGAGGAAACTGAGGCACCGAGGGGTGAAGCAACTGGACCAACAGTACCCACCCAAGAAGTCGTGGAACCTGTATTTGAACTCAGGCAGCTTTCACCCTTGACATTGTCCTCCTCACGGAGCCCGGAGCCCCCAGGAATACACATGCAGTGGATCTCTTCCTACCTCCTGTGTGTGAAGCCAAGAAGGGCTTTCTTAGGCCTACCCTAAATCTCATGTGCTGTAGGCCACGTCCAGTCCCTTTTGTGGGCTCCTCCCTGGGGGATGCTGAGCAGTTGGCCTGGGCTCAGCACAGGAGGCCCCAGAAGGCCTGGAGAATGTGGCCACACCATCATGTCCCTAAGGCCCACGGCAGTGGCTCTGTCAGCCTTTTCCAAGTGGCTCTGGGTCCCAGCCCTTTGACTCCGGGGCCGCGGCCCCCCCCCCCCGGCTCCTCCCTTCTGCCTGGGTGCCCAGGCTGGAGCCTCGCTTACTAGGGGGGCACCTGGCAGAGACAGAAGGGGACAGCGGTGCTCCTGCAAGTGTAGCAGAGGGAGGCCCCGCGTGTCATGGAAGAGAGCTGCTCCCTGGTCGGGGGTTCGCCTGTTGCAGCTGCAGCAGGGAGACAGACCTGGCTTTGTGCTCCTGGGACACCGGAGCCGGGGGTAAGGCAGAGCTCTCTAAGGTACCAGCAGAGGCCCTGCCACCTTCGAAGCATAGAGCCCTTTGCCACATCCCACAGCCAGCTCCTTTCCTCCTCCCCTGGCTCCAATGTCTGTCCTCTGGGTCCCACCTCAAGGCCATCTTTCCAAAGTGTGAAGGCGGCCCGGGGCTGGGAATTCAGAGTTGTCTTGTGGACCCAGTAGTAGCTACCCTTTCTGAGGGCCTACTAAGTGCCAGCACCTTCCCATAAGCTGTCCACGGCTCATGACAACTCAGTACCCAGGCTTTTGAGCTCTGCTCCGTGGAGGAAGGAGTGAGCCTCCGTGGCCTGTCTGGGGTCCCTCAGCTGGTCAGCAGCTAAGTGGGAACAGGAACTGAAGCTTGTCTGACTCAAGGCCCGTAACCTTCTGAGCACATCATGTGCGACGTCTCTCCCAGATGTTGGAAGGAAGGACATTTGAGCGGGAAGAAGTTTGGAGGAGAAGCTGTGGACGAGGAGTTGGGCTGGAAAAGAAGCCACGGGCATGGTGATCCCCTGGGCACCAGATGGATATCCCAGTGGAAGGGCCATTCAAGCATAACTCACTTGTTTCAAAGCAGACCCAGCGGGAGTCCTAGCAGATGGGACAGGACAGGCACTGGTCTCTGAGAAAAACATTGTCCCCGTCCTCTCCTTTTCCATGCTCCCAGCCTGCCTTCCCAGTTTGCTTTGTTCTCTTAGCTACAAAAGCTCACCTTTTCTTGAAACCACCTCCAGGAAGTCTCTTTGGATTTAAGAGACCATGTAGGACAGGGGAAGGAGTCAATTAAGACTCTTACTAGTGGTGGGACTGTTCTCTCTGAGCTTCATCGTCCCCACTCTAACAAGGGGAAGAGAGTGCTGCCCAGGCAGGCCAGACCCCACACTTCTCCCGCACCTCCTGCCCACCATCTTGGGCTCCCAGGACTGCTGGCACGCTCGCTGGCCTGCCTGCCCCGGGACTAGAATCAGGCTGCAGGTCTTATCTTCTAAGGGTCTTGCATGTTTGCCTGGCCTCTGCAGCCAGACTGGAAGCTCCCGGGGCCAGGCTGACCCCATACTTCTCCTTTGCCCCCCGGCGCCCAGCGCAGGGCTGTGCACAAAGCAGCCCTCGGAGACAGGGGCGAGTATCGGGAAAGAGTCTGCATGCTCAGCCAACAGGCCTGAGATACTTCTCGCTCTGCCGGTGTGTGATTTCAGTTTTCTTGTCCACAGAATGGGGCTAATAATACTGACCTCAAGAGGTGGCTATGGGAATCTAATGAGGTAAAATATAGAACGTGCTTAGTCTAGTCCCTGGCACATAATGGGCACTGGAGACATATTTTGTGATTATTGTCGTGATTAATGACATTTTATTCATTTGCTAACAGATGTCATAGGGTGCTGACACTCTGAGGACCAGGTAGTTGACTGCATGTTTGCCTTTGGGCTGAAAGCTTCCTTAGGGCAGAGAAATGCCTTGCTTGCTCCCTCACCAAACATTTATCGATCACCTGCTCGGAGCCAGGCCCGATGCTACACACTAGGAACACTGAGGTGAATTTGTCCTCTAGGAACTCCCGGTGACAGAATGTCTCTGGGAACCCACCCCAGCCCACCAGGAACTAACCCGGACCCCAAAAGGCTGGCCTGGAGGTCACCCAGAAGGAAGGCCTGAGCTCACCCTCATGGGGCCCACCATGATGCCAGTATTGAGGGTCAAGGGGAGAGCAGAGGTTTTGGTAAGTCACAGCCTAGGACTGAAAAGCCTTCACGTCTTAAATCCAGTCTGATGTTACAGTCAGTAAGGCGTCTAGATGACGTTAGACACGCAGGGGGTGGGAAGGCGGGCCTGGGTTTGAATCCTCACTCTGCGCTGGCCAGTGCACCCCATCACCTCTCAACCATGGCAGCCAGAGGCTGGAGGGTCTCAGGGCTCATCGAATCCCCTCTCTCGGGACAGGCCTCGGTCAAGGTCACAGAATGAGATGTGAAGAGGCAGGCGGAGGCACAGCATTGCCCACAGACGGAGGGGAGAGGGGAGGAGTTTGCACCGCCTTTCTCGCCGCTCCGTCATGCTCAGGCCAGCCCGCTCTGGGAGCCCAGTACGTCCTGCTCATGGCGACCTTGAAACTTTGCCAGGCTCTACAGGGCTTCACCCTCCCATCCTCAAATCCTTTTTATTCAGTCAACATGTATTTATCAGTTACCTACTATGTGTAGGTGCTGCTCTAGACGCTGTGACAAAGCAGTGACTAAAGTGTACAGAGGACATCCCACATCCGGTCCTTAACCGCTGCTCAGCCAAGAACTGCCACCTGCCCCGTTCCTGGCTGCCCCAAATTTCTGCTAGATTTTCAGCCGAGAGCACACGGTTCGGCCCTCAGTCATACACTGTCCTCATTGGTGACCATTAGCTCACGTCCAGCTCACCTCAGTAGGGCCAGGAGCAGGGTGACCTCCGCTGCTGAGGGTGGTGGGGTGCAGGGCTGGAGGCCGGGAGACCTCAGGCAAGGTCAGCCTGGGGGGCCCTGGGGAGTCAACGAGCCCTTCAGAGGCACCATCTCTGCCTGGCGGGAATCCCAGGAAGCGGGTCCTGGGATTGTCCCCACTTTACGGGGAGGACGCTGAGGCTAGGAGGGGGCGTGGACCTTGTCTGACATCTCAGAGCCAAGAGTTGGCAGGTCCCGGAGCTGGCTGGGTGTGTCACCACCCTCCGCTTGCTGAACCTCCCTTCTTGGCGGTGAAGTGGGGGACATCACCGCACATTCGGTTGTCCTGAGGGTGATCTGATGCCAGACAGCACACACGGGGCCGCCAACAAACGGGGTTCCTTTTCTTCTCCAAGGATGGCCCGACTCCTGGGCCTCCGCCATGTCCGAGGCCATGACCCCGGCCAGGCCGCTCATGAATGTGGGCACCAAACCAAGCTCACCCTTGCCATCACCCCAAAAGCTGGTGGCCTTGCTAAAGGCCAGCCCAGCCTAGCTGCTGCTCTTGTGACAGTCCCCAGTGACAGCAGCTGGCGAGGGGGGCTCTTCTTGGGTCAGGGTGGACCCTCAGTGCTGCCACACTCCGTGTCACACAGTGACACCACTCCCCCAAGGTCACGCCTGCCCATGCCCCCCCCCGCTGCCTCCTCAGCCCTGGACCTTGCGAGAGCAGCACCTGGTGATGTCCAAGTCCCTCTTGCTCAGTGGAGACAAATGAGGACTTTTCCCAGAGGACTTCCGCTAGGGAAGAACACGAGAAATGCAAGAGTGAGGAGATGGATGAGCGGGAAGAGCTCAGACCTCTCCTCCAGACACGCCTGACGTCTGCCTGGTGGGCGTGCGCCATGCTCGGCCCCAAGGGGGCCGGACGCTCCACCAAGCCACACAGACCTTAGTCCGGAGCAGGTTTCAGCCAAGCCTGGTAGGATTCTCAGTGTTGCCCCAAACTTGCTGAGCCAGGGGTGGGCCCTTCCTTTGCTCCTGCTGCACACACCAGTGAGGAAGGCACTCGCCCACGGGGTTCCCCACTGGCTTCGGGCCAGCACTGACCCCAGGCCTCCCCTTCTTTGCCCCTTGAGTCCTTGCCCCGACTTGCTGCCCCTGGATGACATCCACTGACTGTCTCCTCCATGCCAGGCTCTGCCATGTGCTAGGAAACAGGTAAACGAGACAACACCTTGCCATGGAAGGGTTCAAGGTTTAGGGATGGGAGAGCAGGGTAAGAGGACAGGCATTATCGTTTAGTCTAAAAGATGTAATGAGGGGCGCCTGGATGACTTAGTCGGTTAAGCGTCCGACTCTAGATTTCAGCTCAGGTCATGATTTTCAGGGTCGTGAGATGGACCCACATCGGGCTCCATACTAGGTGTGGAGTCTGCTTGAGATTCTCCCTCTCCCTCTGCCTCTGCCCCTCCCTGCCACCCCGCACACCTGCGCGCTCACTCCCCCTCTCAAAAATTAAAACTAAAAGGTGTAACGAAAGCTGTATGAACACAAATGGTTTAGACATGTGTGTGCGTGCGTGTGTGCGTGTGTGTATTAAGGGGGAGGGAGAGAGAGAGAAATTGATAAGGCAGATGGGTTAAAATGTAAACAGCTGGTGAATCTAGGTAAAGAGTATTATGGGAATTCCTCATAGGAAAAACCAAGCTCATACATACAGAGAACAGACTGCGGGTTGCCAAAGGTGGGGGTGAGGAGGTGGGCGAGATGGCTGAGGGGGGTCAAAAGGTACAAACTTCCAGTTACAAAATAAGTACGTCATCAGGATGTAATGTATAGCATGGTAACTATGGTTAATAATCCCATGTTGCATATGTGAAAGCTGCTAAGAGAGTAGATCTTAAAAATTCCCATCACAAGAAAAAAAATGTGTAACTGTGTGGTGATCATTTCGTAATATATACAAATGTGGAGTCATTATGGTGTAGGCTTGAAATGAATATAATGTTGTATGTCAGTTATACCTCAATAAAAAAAGAAAAGTAAATCTCTCACCTAGAGGTGAAACAAATTTTTTTGTAACTTTCCTGTAAGTATGAAATTATATCAAAACCAAGAAAATCCCAGCATGAGCAAAGAGCTTCAGAGCCCAGAGGAAAAAGCAACCGCCCGCTTGTAGGAGCTGCGAAGATGCTGGAGGAGGGAAGCACTGAGCTGGCAGAGAAAGAGGGGTGAATGCTTGGGGTGGAGGCAACAGCATGTGCAAAGGCAGGGGGGCCGTGACAGGGCCCGGCACATGGAGCCACCTGTGCCCCTGAAACTCCAAACACCTATCGAATACGAGGGCCTTCCTGTGCTTAGTCTGCGGTTTGAGCCTAGTATTTGGGCCTCATCAGACGGTGGCCCCAGGGCCCTGGCAGTGGCACCATCGTCGTGGGGAGATCCTCCATTACCTGGCTACTCGCTGGGTCTCTGCTGCTTCCCTGGAGCAGCAGTATTCAGTAACGCCAAGCATGATGGTGCCTTTTTGGCCTCTGCCAGCTCCCCAGAGAATTGCTTCCAAATTTCGATCACAGTTGGTTTCCAACAACATCTAAACGGTTTGCCACAAGCCCAGCAGCCCTGGCTGTCCAGGACCACAGGTGCCAAGCAAAGGTTGGCCCAGGCAATGCCCTCCCGCTGCCTCGTGAGTCAAAGGGCCCTGTTGACGGTTAGTAGCTCCAGAGTGTCAGTTTCAGGCTCAGGAAGTAGAAAAAGAGGCAGCTGGTTTACAGCACTTCCTCGAGGGCAGCAGCTTGACCCAGTGACCTCTCGAGGAGCCTTCCAGTTGCACGGAACGTTCTCTCTGCCCTGCCCACCTTCCTCTGGCTTAATGCCTTCTCATATTTCTCATCTCAGCGGAGGGCCTAACTTCTCAGGAAAGCTCTCTCTGAGCACCCAGCCCTGGCCAGGGGAGGAGTCTACCCTCGTGTTCCCAAGGCTCCCATGTGACCCCGCATCACGGCATTTTCTTATTATGGGTCAGAGCAGGACCCTGGAGCTGGGTTGCACGGGCTCCAGCCCCGGCTCTGCCACTTGCTGGTTCTGTGACCTCGGGCAAGTTACTGAGCCTCCGTGTGCCTCAGTTTCTTCATTGGCAACATGGAAGCCTATCTCCAGGGCCAGAGGAGTCAGCATTTACTTAAAACAGGGTCTGGCCCCTAGTTTGGGCTATTCGTGGAGAAGCTCCTGCCCCTCCTGGGCTGGACTTTACTGCTCCCGGGAGGACAGAGGAGGGGTGCTGCTCTTGCGTGGTCTCAGAGCTGGGCATGGTGAGGCTGTCCACGTGGCTTGTCAAAGGTACAGACGAACGAGGTGGGCTCACCCAGGAGGCCAAGGGTTAAGGTCAAAGCAGCATGGGGCTGGGGGTCTGGAGCCCCAGGTTCACCCTCTGAGGAGCGCTGGGCCAATCTATCCTTTCCCCTGCCTGAGCCTCGGTTTCTTCCTCGGTAGAACGGGGATAGTAGCCTGGGGACCGAAGCGCTACGGACTAGCGAGTGCTGCACCCACAAGGAACAGCACGCGTCTGCTGGCCCTCCCGCCCCACCTGCAGCCTTATGCCCTGGCTCCAGCCGCGCTGGTTTAGCTTGCTCAGTGGCAGATAGCTCCGGCCACTCACGAGCACATGACCCCCGCCGGGGAGATGCCCCCCGCCCCCACCCCCCCACCTCCCGCGAGCCCCTCCCTCACCTTGTGTCACCACCTTGCCGAAGACGGGCAGGGAGTCGAGCGTGGAGCAGTTCCAGCGCCGGTTCCGGAACTGGTACTGGCACTCCTCAATGGCGAGCTGAGCGCCGCGGCGCACCGAGTCCATCACCTCCAGGTTCCGCTTGCACATCTGCACTTGCCTCTGGATCAGGCCCTTGAGCTTCTCGCACGTCTCCTCCTCTGAGATGCTCCCCACCGAGGACAGCTTGGCCAGGTACCTGGGGGGAAGGCGGTGGCGTGGAATGCGGTGTGGCGCTCCTTCCTCCTCTTTCCACTGTCAGGACCGGGCTGTGCTCAGCCCAGGTCTCCGGGGACCGACTCATCCCCCTGATGGGTCCTGGCGGTGACTTCTCTCTGGATCTGGTGACAGGCCCCCGTGCCTGGCTCTTGGGACCAGAGGGGCAAGTGCTGTCTTGCATAAGAAAGCCTCTGCCTCCACCAAAGCAGGCCAGGCACTGGGAGCGACAGTGACAGAGCCCCCACGGGACCCCGGCATGGCCCCTGGGCTCCGACCCTGTCAGGTCCCTCTGGCTGGGAGGCCGGGACCACTCCCCTGGTGTCTCTATGTCCCCACCCCCAGGCAAGGACCCCGGGGAGCTAAGCCCACCCCAAGCCACGGCCAGCCACATCCCTGGGTACCAGATGGAGGCCAGCATCAGGGCGGCAGCCGGGAGACTCAGTCAGCACATGGAAGGGGGCAGGGAGGAAGCCTTCAAAAACATTGTGCCGTGCTCTTCCCTCGGCCCCTGGAGTTTTTACAGCCTGAAGATGGGGCAGCAATGCCGTTCCACCTCATAGGGTAATGATGAGGATACGAGCTGGGTAACTTACGTCCGAGGGCTCTGGGACCAGGCCTGCAGGGAGCGGGGGCTCTAAAGCGTCCATTTCAGGGGAGGACAGGAGAGAGCACGACTGTTCATTGAACACCCAGTATGTACCGTGCACAGTGGCAGTCACTGCCGCATCCTCACCCCCAATCTATGAGGTGGTCATTATTATGCCCGTTTTATGGATTCCAACATGGAGGCTAAGAGGGTGACAGGGCCAAAGTGACACAGATAGCAAGTGCCAGAGCTGAGCTGCAAACCCCTTCAAGCAGGGTGGGCCTTCCTCCTGCCTGTCCTCCTCCATGGTGGGTTGAGGGGCCCGGGCAGGCTCTGCTGCATCTGAGGACACACACTGTGCGATCTGGGCCAGGAGGTAAGGGAGCTGGAAGCAAGCTGCAAGGACGCTCAGCAGGATGGGAGCAGAGCTGGGGAAGGGCCCTGGTCAGGAAGAAGTGGTCCCTCTCAAGGGAAAGAGCTATGCATTAGCTGAACACCTACTAAGTGCCGGGTATGTCTCAGGTGAAGTGATCGGCTCAGGGTCACCTGGCTTGTAAGGGCAGATGTAGACTGAAGCCCAGGTCCGATAACCCCGCGACTCTGTTCTAACCACTGGCCCTCAGCCTGTCCCCCCTCTCCACTAGCATCCTTGGCCAGAGAGAGCAAGCTGCCCCTAACCTTATAGTGAACCAGCCTCCCTGCACACCACCCCCTCCACAGGGGCTTGGCCGGCAACCCTGGTCTGGGACGGCGGGAGCGTCCTAGAGCAGGGGGGTGAAGATGCTGTTGCATCCTATAAGGGAAGCTGCTCGAATTTCTTGTCCAAAGGGAGGTCAAAGGGGAAGGTCACCACTCTCCAGGACTCAGTTTTCTTATCTGTAATGTGGGGAGGTTACCACTGGTTCTGGCTAAGTCAAGGAACTGTTGTCAGAGCAAAAGGGGTCCTGTGTGTAGAAAGATGGTCTGACCAGGGGTCTGAGGCAGTGGGGCAGGAACTGGCCATTTGTTTGCTGAATGAAATGAATGAATGGAGAGCAAAGAGAGAAGTACATAGAAAGCCCCACTAAAATACGGGACATTTTAATGATGATGGTAATAAGCATAGCTCACTTTGATGGAACTTAGGACCAGGCTAAGCACTTTACTTACATTATTGCATTTATTCCCCTCAGCAAGCCAATGGACTCCCATTTTATAGAGGAGGAAACTGAGGCACAGACAGATTAAGTAGCTTGCCTTGTGCACAAGGTCATCCAGCTGGTAGGAGGTGGAGCCAGGACTTGAACCTGGTTTTGCCTGACTTCTAGATGGGCGCTAAACCCAGCGTTGTTTTAAGCAGCTCAAGGACTAGACCTGACCCCAGTGGGCAGAAGCTGCTGGGAGCCGGGTTCGCTCAACCTAAGGATGCTGGTCAAGGTGCAGCCGATGGGCTGCCTGCTGGTCGCCAAGCTTTCCTCCCCTGGAGGTGTGTGAGCAGCAGGTGGATTCTGTTTGTCAGGCACGTGGGTTGGACCAGAGGGTTGGTTCTCAAATCTGGCTGTGCATCGAAACTTTTGTGGGGTTTGCCGAGAGCGCAGGTGCCTGGGCCTCCCTCCAGGCGGGGCTGGGTGGGCATCTGGGCTTTTCGCACATTCGCAGGAGCAGCTGGGAAGCCAGGCTGGCCCTGGACGGCACTTCAGGGGACGCTCTTGGCTAACCACCGGTGATGCCTCCTTCTACACCCAAGGGGGATCTGATTCTGGGACCCACGTTCCTCCTCATGGCTGCATCAGCACCCGTAGCCCCGGTTGTGAGGCCTGAGTCTAGCTTTCTTTATCTAGAGGGGGAGATCATGGATCCTATTGCAGAGGGCTGCTGTGAGAAATTAAGGCGAACTGATGCGGCTGGTGCAGCCGGCTCTCAGCCGGGCACATCGCAGGTGCGACCCCAAGGACCCCTCCTTCCCTGGCAGCACAGGTGAGTAGGAGGTGGGTGGTCTTGGGCTGAGGCAGTCCAACCTTCCCTTCCTCTCCCCACGTTCCTCGCCTCCTGGGGGACCTCCCTGTCTTCTCTACCAGGTCCTGCCTAGGGGATACACAGTCACTGGTAGGGCTGTGTAGGGCCTGCGGAGGGCCTCGACCATCTCTGCTTCTTCTCTCGTTCTGGTCGCCTTGCCCCAATTTGGGCTTCTTCCTGCCACTGCTGAGTACAGGATTAGCAATTTGCCACCTGCTGCCCCAGCCACCCAGGACTCTAGCCACAGCCCTTCTTCTCTCGTTCTGGTCGCCTTGCCCCAATTTGGGCTTCTTCCTGCCACTGCTGAGTACAGGACTAGCAATTTGCCACCTGCTGCCCCAGCCACCCAGGACTCTAGCCACAGCCCTGCCATCGATCAGGTTACCCCAGCAGGCCGGGCGGCCCCGGCTGCCGCTGCCAGCCAGCTCGTGCCCCCATCTTCTCAACCGGGGGCTGCCTGAGCCTTCCAGAGGGGAGAAGGGTGGGAGGATGGTTGAAGGGCAGGGGGGTGCATCTGGAAGGGAAGGGGGCAGACTTGGCTCCTCAGCCCTGTCTGGGTGCTCCCCTTGCCTGGGCCAGCTGAGGAAAGGGGGTCCCCCTAAGGAGCTAGTCCCACCTGGCGCTCTTGGCCTGCAGGGGGCGCCAAGAGCCCAGCGACTGGCCAGGGGCCAGGTCCACACTTGGGAGGCCGCGAGTGAGGGGACAAGGAGTTGGGCCTCAAGTTGGATCCTTTCTTGCTCAGACCCAGGCTTGGCCTCTTGGATAAGGGTGGGGGCCCCTATTCCCCGAATGACAGGGGGGCACAGAGCTGGCCTGTCCCCATCTCAGCCCCTGTTCCCTCTGCGTCCTGCCAAGGGGCCAGGTCAGACTGTAGAGGCTCCTGCCTCCTGGTGAAGGGAGGTGTTCAAGGGCAGGGGTTCTCTGGGCAGGGGAAGCAGGCTGGGGAGGCCCGGCTGAGCCAACAGCCCACGGTGTGAGCTTGGGCAAGTCCCTGCCGACTCAGAGCCTGTTCTCCTGGGGACAATAAACTGGCAAGTCTGTGCGGCCTTTCCCTCTGTCCGAGTGGTAGTCCTCCTTCTACAGACCGGGAGGGGGGTGTCCAGGCCTCAAAGGCCTCGGGGGGCCCCGGCCAGGCTGATAGATGGAGCCCCTACCGTTGAATGAGAAATGAAGTAGACCAGGGGAGCTGCCCACCCCTGTCTCCTAGGTGCAGACTCAGTGAGGGGAGGCAGCCTGAAATAACAGTAGTAGGGCTTTAGGGGTGAGCTGTGGGCTGCCATGGCAGTGGGTCACTGGGACGGCTTCCAGGAAGAAGCTGAGAACCCTCTTCCGCCGAGGAGCGTGCCTGCCCCCACGGCTGGCACCCTTGCCACGCCCCCGGCCCCTGCCTTCATCTGGCTCCCCAGCTGTCCCCTTCCGTGCCGCAGGAGGTGCAGCTTCAGCCCCCCCGATTCTCCCAGATCCCAGGATCTGGCCCGGGAAGGGCTGGCTGCTGGGGCCGGACAGGCAGCTGGGAATGGGGCAGAGGTGGGGTGGGGTCCCGGGCCCTTGCCCGCCCTGCCTGCCTGCCTGTTGGGGTATCCGGTCTGGGGGCCTGGCCTCCTTCTACAGGGGAGCGAACTGAGGCCCAGAGAGGTGGAGTGCCTCGTCCAAAGTCTCATAGCCAGCGAGTGACCAGGAGCTCTGTCTCCCCTGTACCCCGGTTGTGGGTCTGCCCAGTCTGACAGCTGTGGGGGCTGATGCTACCTTCAGTGTCATGTCCAGCCGTGGCCTCCTCAGGGCCTGGCACAGGGCGAGGCCCACAGAAGGTGTTCGGTCAATGCCTGCAGCGTGATGGGGGGCTCTGTCCCCCGTGTCACCTCCTGGCAGAGTCCTCAGGGTAGGGAAGAGGGGGGCTGAGGGAGTACCATGGGGGCTGCCTCTGCCTACCAGCCTGCACAGGACATAGAGACGGTCAGGGGTCAGGCCCACCTGATCCTGGGGGCCTCAGGATCCCCTCCCTGCACCCTAAGGTGGCTCAGCCTTTTCCTCAGAGCCACGTGTGCCACTCGATGACCCTGGAGCTGGGCCGGGCTCGAATGTCGGCTGCACAAGTCATTTCTGGGGAGACAGAGAGCCTCCCGGGTGTGATCAGTGCTGGCCGTCGCTGGGCCGGACTGGCCAGGCCTGCGGAGGGCCTCGACCATCTCTGCTTCTTCTCTCGTTCTGGTCGCCTTGCCCCAGTTTGGGCTTCTTCCTGCCACTGCTGAGTACAGGA